GAAAGTAAAGGTTGTTGGGGAAGCAATTGAGACGCTCAACATTTTTGCTTCTTTGAATTCAGCTTTATCTTCGTGGCTTTTCTTTCTCCTGCAAGTGTACACTTCTTTCTCGATTCTTAGCACTCGGAATATAGATTATAAGATAAGGTTCTTTTTATCATTTTCCCAATGACAAAAAAAACGTAAGCTACACAAGCCATTAGTATTTGAGTAATTTTTTTTATTGAAACTAAATGGATTATTAAAAAAATTTGTTTTATGATAAAATGATTACTTTATCAAAATAAAAATAATGATATAGAATATTAATAAAACAATAAATTTAAAGAAAAATAAGTGTTTAAATTATAATATTTATTAAATTTAAGTGTAAAGTATTTTTCACTCAAAATGTGTATTTAGTGTTTTTAAAGTTAATTTTTTAAGTGTCTATTGTAACGGTCGTTAATAAAATTTAATATGACACATGTCGTATTTATATTTTTAAAAATTTATTTTTATTATTTATAAATATTATTATTTTTATAAAAAATAAACCTCTTTAAAATTATTAAAAAAACAAAAACTCTAAAATCTTTATTTTCAAACTCATTTTCAGTAGTCGTCGATCGACCACCGCCTTCATCTCCAACAATGATCCATCTGTCGTCGCCCACCCACTAATCAACCATCATCCTTATTGTCACCCTAAACCTCTAAATTCCTACTTTCAAAACTCATAATACGCAATAATATCAAAACTTTATGGTTTGCGAAGTGTATGCGTTATCAACGTATCATGAAAGTTATGAATAAATACATTTTTATAATCATCTCAAATTATTAAAAAAACCAGTTTCCATTATATTTAACAGTTGAAGTATATGTATTTTCGATCGTGTTTTTAGGGAGAGAGGAAAGAAGAAGAGAAACTTGTTTAGAACAATGCTTTCATTTTCATTTTTCAGTAGCATTTATATAGAATAGAATCTGTATAAAAATAATATAAAAACAATAATCTGTATAAAAATATTATGAACATTAAAGAACCCAATCCCAATGAATGACTATCCTAGAAGGTATTTTCCGAGACAATAAAAATAGTTAGAACTCTAGTTAATACGCAGAACAAAATGAATAACAAACCTTTACCGTGTTTGCTAAGTTTACTTGTGTATTTTGATGGTTGGGTAAAATGCTTGAATTCTTCCTTTCTTGTTTAGTGAACACATTTCCTGTTTAACATGCACAACCCCCTCCTTGCTGCTCTGTATTCTGAGATGAATTGCCGCTCGACTTCAAGTTCACATCAACCATGTCTTCCTGTTTGTTGAAGAAAGCGTTCCATCCCCGGTAAAGCTGCAGCAATCTTGCGGAATAGAGGCTGCCATTTCACATTCATGATAATATTGGGAAGTTAACAAACATGTATATGTATATTTGTATGTGTATATATATGTGCGAGTGTATGTGTTTGTGTATGTATATGTATGTGTATGTGCATGTGCATGTGTCGTTGTACATGTATATGTACAACTATCAAATAGTTTTGTTTTGTTTTTCACCTTGATGTTGAATCCTGCTTTTGCACTGGTTTCGATGAACATTATTCCAAATTCACGAGCCTTTTTATCTCCTTCCTCTATAGAAACTTGCCTGTTTAATCGCCAAACGGTATAAATGGAAACAGCATTAAGAATTACTCAAAGCTGGAGTGTTAAACCATCTCAAAGTACCAAGCAAAGCAAACAAAATCATCAAAATACAGTGATATGTAAAACAGACAAAAGTTCAGCTTTCCAACTCAACACTGACCTTTTATCAACAAGATCAGTTTTGTTCCCGACAAGGACAATAATGACATCGCTTCCCCGTTCTGTGCGTACCTCCTCAACCCACTTAGAAGTGTTAAAAAATGATTGCCTATCTGCAAGGACAAATCCGAATGAGGAATGTACAGTAATTAAGGTTAACTTACTCCAATTTAATGCCAGTGGTTATAATGGGAGAGTTGTTTACCAGCGGTATCATGCATTAGATTATAAAATCTTTCCATTACAGTCTTTCATCTACTGAATTCAAAAATAAGAAGAAAAAAAAGGGGTATTTGGGTTAGCTTATACTCACTAGCTACATCATAGACAATTACTGCAACAGAAGAGTCTCTAATATAACTTGGAATAAGACTCCTGAATCTCTCCTGGCCAGCAGTATCCCTGTGAAATCATAACTCATAAGATAAAACTCAATTGAAGATGAGACAATTGAAAATTTGAAGAGCATATGAACTTTATAAGCCAATAAATTAGATTACTTGACATGCTGCAATATACTCTAGCCAAATAGATAGCTGCCTAAAAACTGGTCATCAGAAATTGAATATGGCAGACCAGATTGTTATAACAAATTTCAACCAAGCATAAAGTTGTCACATTTCGTAATTGCATGCATATAAGAGGAAATGCTGGGAGATTCAACAAGATTGTTTTTTTACCAGCTGACAACAAATTATATCTGCCTTACAGCAAAAGCAAGCGCTTTCTGGAACAAATTTGTAGTCTAAAATCAATATAAGCAATCAAAACAATGTCCTTCAGCTCACAAGAATCGTGCTTATGTTCATTCAGCTTTTATGGAAACCGTTGGAGAGATGTATATGGCGTTGAACAGAGTTATCCAAGAATACATTGTTAGAGAGAGAGAGGGGAAAGGAAGAAACCATATTACCAAAGCTGCAATCGAACCGTTCTATCTTCAAGATACATTGTTTTTGACAAAAAGTCAATTCCTATAGTAGCCTGCAATTGATTTATATCAAAATATCATGAGCAAATTCTTCTTAAAAAAAGCTTAAGAATAATAATCAAGGAAAATAAACAAATAAACAGTCAAATCACATATTTATGATCTAGAGTAACGATATTCAAAATTCAAAGAATTTGTATCAATTATGATGTGCTAAAAAAGAGGAGAAATCTGTTTCAAGATATTAGGCCAAATTGATAATAATTCCCTATACGATTGAAACAAACATTTCTAAACTAAAATAATTTCGTTGAAGACCAACAACGCAATCAAATAACAATATTAAAACCGTGATTAATGCTGGGGATCAATATCTACCTAGAATACGTCAACTAAATCACTTTTAAACAATGTACGAAACAGAGGAACTTAAGAAACGGTCAAATCTGGTTTGAATCCGTAAGAATCAACGAACTGTTCAAAAATAAAGAATGGAGAAATTTACCTGGTAAGTGGTGTCGAATTTATCGTACATGAAACGGGTGATGATGCTGGTTTTTCCTGCGGATTGATCGCCTAAGAACACCAATTTGTATTTGGCAAGAGGGGACACTGTAGCCATTTTTGCAATTTTTTCTCTCGATTTTTTATTGTAAACGACAGAGATTCAGATCTGAATATGGAAGAAAAATTGTGTTGCAATTTTCGTTATTATTTTTATAACTATGATTGATGGAAATGGATTTTTTTTTTAAAAAAAATTAAAGGAGAAGAAAAGGAAGGAAAGCTTTGAGAATCGAGTTTAATCCACTTTATATATATATATATATATATATATATATATGAAGAGCAGGAGAAACCGCCAACCATGACGAGCAGGATGGCTAAGTCAAATACTTTGAACCGGTTTCGTCTTTCCAATTTTACCCCTACCACCACAATGTTATTTTTCTAAAATGGTTTAAATACATCACAATTATAATTATAATTGGGCTTAAATTTCTTTTTAGTAGTTCTAACTCGTTTTAATTATGGATTAAATTTAAAATTTTATAATAATTTAAGTTTCTCTAATTATAGTTTGTTAGGATTTGTGTGTTCTTAGTATAATAATTATTTCCTTTAGTTCTGAATTAATTCATTTAATAAATTTATGTATTTTATTTATTTATTTCTCGTGTACACTATGCCCTTAAACTATGAAATTGCATGTAAAATAAATAGCGAAAGAAAATATCTACTCATTATCAAGGGATTTAATTAACTATGAGTTGCATTAAAATAGGATGGCAGAATGACCCGAACCCGACGGAGAATTCTGAAATCCGGTCAAGTTCAGATCGGGTCGAGTTTGAATGATATCGAGTCGGGTATCGGAGATTTTTTCGGGTTCGGGTTCGGGGCAAGGTATCCCCTCCCCGCCCCGATTATATATATATAATATTTTTATATTTTTTATATTAATTATATATATAATATTTTATATTTTTTATATTAATCATATATAATATTTTCGGATTTGGGTTCGGGTATAATATTTTGGGTTGGGTTCGGGGACGGGGCAAAAAAAATCCCTGATGGGGCGCCCCGATAAAAAACTCGACGGGGATCGGATCGGGGATGTGGATTCATTTCGGGGACGGGAACGGAGAGAGCAGAACCCGCCCCGAACCTGTCCCGTTGCCATTACTACATTAAAAGGATTGATTTGTAATATAAATACCACTTATGATTTGAAGGTAATTTAAATTAGTCTATAGTACATAAAATCGTCCAAAACAAATAATTCACGTTAAGACTATTATATTGTGTACAGTTCGAAGAGGAGATTATTCGTCTTGCTATTGGAGAAGGTTGACACCTAAGTAAAGACATAGGTGTGTTTGATTGGGATAAACAACACACTGAACTGAATTTAAGATGAATTAATATTAAATATTTTTATAGATTAAATTCGCTTGAGATGTTAAAAATATATTTACTTTAATCCTAAGTATATTTAAATGTACAATGGAGTCTCAAAGCCATGATATTCACTTCATAGTTCATACAATTTTGGACGCCCCTCCACACAACAAAAGCCTTGTTCTTTCTCTTCCCAGTTTCAGTCAGAATCATTACCTAGTTCAAATGTCCATGAAAACAAGTATACCTATAATATGCCTTCTCCCTTGCCTATACTATTAGCCACTAAGTATAACTAAATCCTAAAAGATATCGTGCTGGGAAAACAAATTGAAACTTGAATAATTGAGGCAACTCTGAGAAACCGGTGATTAGGCTTCTTTCTTTTTGACTTGGTATGGATATTTCTGGTATATCGAAATGCTGCTGATGACAAGCGGAAGTTCCACAAGACAATAAACCGATGGTGGTTCTCCTTCCAAAAGAAACTGCAGCATGGATGTTACTAGAAGGGCCGAAACCATGACAAAACCCTGCATGCATTTGAGAAAATTCTGTTGACGTCTGTCTTTAAGAAAATGATGTGGTAAATTCAGACAACAAATATTTATGGCTTAAGGGAAGGGTGATCTTTAGCTTTAATGCTCCCTCAAAGATATCTGTGTTTTTTAGAATTTAGATACATAGAAGGGAATAGGTTTCCGCTCTGTATCAGTGCCATCACTTGCAGCCACAAATTACCCTCCACCCCTCTTTGATGTCTATACAAGAACTGGTAAAATTACTAACTAAGAAGTAAGGTCAATTACTTTAAACTTGACATTCTGTTTTCTTGATGATTTACAATCATATGGAATTCAGAGCCCACGTGTTAAGGGAAGGATGTAAGATTTTATGTTAGAGGCGCGGAAACATATCATTAATAGAAAATACAAAGAAAATACTTAAATTAGATGAGAATTTAAAATTTTCAGGCCTGCCCATGTTGACCTGTATCTTTTTTAGTTTTAAAAATTATTCTAGGCCTCAATACTCCTAAGCCACTCTATTACTTTTATGTAGTTGGGCTTACCTTTCTCACACCACCAGCAAGGCTGGTGACAAGACCAACAAGAATCCCACAAAGAGCATTGGCCACAACTGGAATCTGAAAAAAGAAAGAAGCCAATTGTGTTTAAACTTTCGAATGCATGTGCCATAGCAGTTAACACATAAAACTATTGTCAAAATAAAGTTACAGCATTCAATAGAGAAACAGTCTTAGCTTACTAAATTCCCTACCTAGCCTTACTCTATCCTTTTCCAGTTTAATTATATGCCAAAAACATCCCTAGCATTCTTCAGAGAAATTTTCAAATAAAATAGTATTACCAAAGTTAGTGGGGTCCAACCATAAAAGAACCCATGCCGTCTGGTAGCTTCTCCATCGGGAGACTTATAGGTGCTACCCAGTAAGCACAAGCTTCCAACAATAGACATTTCTATGGTCATCAAGTATGATGAGTGCTTCTTGACCTGAAATAAAGAAAACCTTAAGGAACGGAAAGAAAATAGGGAAGCCTTCAGTTAAAGCAGGAAAATAGGTGATTTCTCAATCACACCCGAGAAGCCCATTGGCATAATGCAGAAGCCAGACCAGAGAGAGCAGAAGCAACTAAGACTGGGACAATTCCATAAAATAAAATTTGCTCGGGTTCACCACTGCTGGAGCCTTTGCTAGAGCCTTCACCGATGCTTAGAAGAACAGCTGCGATGATCAAGAATAATAGAGCCCCAATTTGTTGAATTGACAACCTCTGGCTTCATAGTTAACCAAAAATTGAGCCAAATAAGCTCGCATATATGATATCCCAAAACATCATTACTATTTTGTACATGTCCATATTCATGATGGTTTTGATTAAACAATGCATTTTGGGAAAGAAAGTAAAAACAATTATAAGATCTATTGAATTCATGAAACATGATATAGTTAATAATTAAGTCATTTGGAAATCTAAAAAGGGCAAAGCAGACAAACATATTGGTGAATTCAGAGCAAAATATTAAAACATAAACCTAGTTTCTAGCATTAATAGGAACCACTTGATCCGTACAAAATTCTCTAATCTAGCCATTTCCTTTCCCTGGAGAACAATCAAAGGAGAAAATGATAGACAAAGGACACATTGAGAAAGATACCTCAGTATGATACATGTAAATAAGGCAGTGAAAATGATTTTTGTCTGGTTCAGCATTGAGAAAGCAAGTGAATCATACGATGGCACAAAGAAAGGGTAAATTATGTTTTTAGTCACTCATCTATTCTCATATTTTTATTTTAGTTACTCAATTACAAAATTAACAATGATACTCATGTGATGTTTTCTCTCTCTCATCGTCAACAGTTTAATGATACTTTTTAATTAATTTTATTTAACCAATTAAGTATTGAAGCAATCATACGAGAAATAGAATGAACAATAATAAAAGTGAAATCATTGAATCTCATGTGATATACAACAATATATATCTGATATCATACTTCACATACTTTCCTTGTAACAACGTCAATATTTTTCTCCTCGATATTAAGACTGGATAACCATATTCACAATTTTATAATGGTTTTCTTTGTTTCTTTTTCGTGATTTTTCGCATTAACATTTTATCACATAAATTTATCTGTTCATTTTCTTTTACATTTTAATTTACGATCGATTGTTTTATTTTCCGTAATTTCGTAGCTGGTTGAAAAAGAGATAGGGCTTGGTGTCGTATTAGGGGTCCATCGAGTGGTCATTAAAATGCACCATCAACGGTCCATGGACCATCTTTTCGTATTACATCCAAATCGACAATCCTATCAAAATAAATTGTATTTTTTCTTTATCCCACGACTAATAAATTTTAAAGCGACAAATGTAAAGCCAACGAAACTAAAAGTGAATAGTGGGTTGACTTAAGTGATAATTTCGTATAATTAACTCAAAAGTTTGTGAGAAAAATCAAAAATTAAATCTTGTCTTGAGTTTGAAAAAATTTAAACTCGAAATGTTATCAGATTTAGCTCGATTGAAGTTTAAACTCAAGCTCACTCTGCTCAACTCTACTCCAACATCTCTCCGTCAACTAGTATATGAGTCATACCTAACATATAATATCAAAATTAACCATAAACATTTATCAAAACAATTATTTTGATATATATTATTTTTTTAACATTTTGACCTTTATGTTTCATTTTAAGGCACAGAAACCTTTAATATTTTACTTAAAAATCACTTTAATTTTTATTTTTTTCTAAAGTAATTGACTGTCTATATTTCATTTTAAAATAAAAACTTATGTTTTAAAGCGTTAATTAATTGTTAATTAAAAATTTCTATTTGCGGAAGCCTTTTAATAAAAGTCAAAAAACTTCAAAAAAATTAAAATAATTATTTTAATAAACATTAACGCTAATTTTAGCATTATGCTGAAAAAAATAACGTTTGAAATGTGAACAGATGTATCTGAAACTCAACTACCCCCAACGCGTGTATGATCACAGCTCAGATTCGCTTTGTATTACAATAATATATTAATATCTTGTTTCTGTCGTTACGTATTATTGCCTGAATAATGATGCAAAAGTCGAAAACTATGGTGGAAATTTCCATGTGAGCGACTCTGTATTTCCCCCCCTTGTTGAGTAACTCTTTATTGCCATATAGAAATTACCTTTCATGCACTATAAATAAATGGTAAGGCTTTAGACAATTTCCCTCATCACAATCGTTTGCAGTTCCAGTACACAAACCTAAAAAAAGTAGAGAGAGTGATAATGGCAACCCTCAAAGTTCCAGCTCATGTTCCTGCTCCTTCTGAGGACGCAGAGCAGCTTCGTAAAGCTTTTGAAGGTTTTTAATTAGATCTATCCTTCCTAAACAGAATCATTAATGAATCTCTGTTACCCTTCTTTTTCTTTTTCTTTTTTCCAAGGAAAGATGTTCTTTTTTCTTGCTATTTGATTTAATCATGGTGCACTGTTTTGGATCATGGGTTTTATGTATTTTGATTTTTTTTATTGATCTGATCTGTTCTGGCTTCATGTTTTCCTTTTTCATCTGTATTTTGCATTAGGATCTTTGGAAGAGCTAATGTGATTTGATAAGACTAAAGTTCTTTTTTTTTTTTTTGAGAGAGAGAGAATTATGAGATTTGTGTCTGTCTAAGTGAACTAAATGAGAAATTGATGGTGATAAGGTTCAACTGGAAATGGTTACTTTGACTGTATTTCTGATCTGATGATACTTTGACTGAACATTATGATCATTGTGATTTTGGAGTTACATGGAACCAAGCAATTGTGGAATAATTTTTGCTTAATTTGAAGTAAGACAGGCTAAAAGGGTTATTGGACCTTTGATTATCTTCATAGTTGCATCAGATTTTGCCTTTACAAAGTATTACATTCTTTGTAATGTAATCTTCCATTTGCATGCCTATCTTTTCTCAACCAGCATCTGTAGGTATGAATTCCGGAAAATTGGTTTACAACAATTAATGTTTGCTCCTGTTTGATGATCTATTGCAGGCTGGGGTACCAATGAGCAATTGATTATAGATATATTGGCTCACAGAAACGCTGCACAGCGCAATTCGATCCGAAAAACTTACCATGAAGCTTATGGGAAAGATCTCCTCAAGTCTTTGGACGAGGAACTTACAAGTGACTTTGAGGTCAGATTTTAACATCCCTTTTTCTTGATCAACTTGATGTTTGGCTAGAAAGCAGAAGATTTAGAAGCCATTATGTGTTTCTTAACTTCGGATTTTTCTCGACAGCGAGCTGTGGTGCTGTTTACATTGGACCCTGCAGAGCGTGATGCATATCTGGCTAATGAATCTACCAAGAGATTCACATCAAGCAATTGGGTTATCATGGAAATAGCCTGCACCAGATCTTCACATGAACTGTTCAATGTGAGGAAGGCATACCATGCCCGCTATAAGAAATCCCTTGAAGAAGATGTTGCACACCATACCAAGGGAGACTACCGCAAGGTTTGGTCTTAAATTTCTTGGTCGTGTATGCAATTCCAATGTATTTTTGCTCTTTTTTTTCATTTGCATGTTAATCGATTACTTGATTTTGTTGCAGCTTTTGGTCCCACTGGTTAGTGCATTTCGATACGAGGGAGAGGAGGTGAACTTGACATTGGCAAAGTCGGAGGCGAAGATACTTCGTGATAAGATCTCAGACAAGCAATACAGTGATGAGGAGGTCATCAGGATTGTAACAACAAGGAGTAAGGCACAGCTAAATGCGACCCTGAATCACTACAATAATGCCTTTGGGAATGCTATCAACAAGGTTCTTCTAAACCTGCATGAAAGTTGGAGCAAGTTGCATAGTACAAACATATGCCATGTTGTAATTCAAACTGATAACGAAGCTCTGGTTTGCAGGACTTGAAGGCCGACGCGGATGATGAATTCCTCAAACTGCTGAGGGCTGCAATTAAGTGCCTGACCGTCCCTGAGAAATATTTCGAGAAGGTTCTACGACAAGCCATCAACAAGATGGGAACAGATGAATGGGCACTTACTAGAGTTGTGACGACTAGGGCCGAGGTAGACATGGTACGTATTAAGGAGGAATATCAGCGAAGGAACAGTGTGACTCTCGAAAAGGCGATTGCTGGAGATACTTCCGGAGACTACGAGAAAATGCTTCTTGCCTTGATTGGAGCTGGAGAAGTCTGAGCTGAGCTGCTTTTCTATATTCAGTAGTTGGTATGGATAATGTATTTAGTATGCACTTTCAGGTGTGAGACTTATGTTTGGTTCTGTCCATTGTCTGAACATGGCTTGAGTTTGGTGCTTTTATCAGGACATGTGAGTTGCACAAGAATATTTAATGATTAAATAAATTATGTCTTTAATAGTAAATATATAAGGATACTTATATTAATCAAGCATTATAATTTACATTTTTTTATATGTTGATACGTAATTTAATGATAAACAAATTCTAATGGTCATGTTATAGTCGTAGTAAATTAATTCTAAATTTATTGGATAACATGAAAATGAGTTTATATATTTGATATTTGTCAAATTATGTAATGTGAAAAGATCACAACTCTTAAAATATTCTTCCAAATGTTTATAATCTTATAATAATTTAATAAACAAATAGTTACAAGAACTCCTGTAAAATTGAAAACTAGTAAGTGTTCTTCTAAATTTGCCAACGTGTTCTTCTAGATAATTCGGGGTTTTGAATTCGATGAGTTTGACCTAATATGATCTTTTTAGATTGAGTTTTTTTTAATATTTCAGGTATGAGTGAGATTTAATTTAGATTTAAAGTGAAAAATATCCGACATAATATGATATAAAAAGACAACATAATTATACCTCATATATTTGAGGATAATTGTCATAGTATTATTTTTTATATTATTTTTTCAATTATCTTTTTATTTTATTAAATAAAATTAAGAATTATATATATATATATATTTATGTTGGATCAAATCAAATTGAATGTGGATTTCATATCCTATAGTGGGTCGAGTTCTGGATTTGATGAAATCATCCTAAAATAAAATTGAGTCAAGTTTTGAGTAGAAAGTGTATTTTTAACAGGTTAAGTCGTATTGATCAGAAACTCGACTCAACTCAAGCCATGTGTATCCCTAGATGCAAAGGTAGTGGGGCCCTTGGCACGGGATACTATTATATTTATAGTTTTTATAATAATAATTAGTGATGACAATAGGTAGGGTTTTAACCGAGTCTGACAAGAATAGAAAAAATATATCTTTTATCTAAACTCGATCCGACCAGAAAAATATATACCCTCCATCCGAATTTGATCTAACTCGATTTTTTGGACTGTAAGTCCAACTTGATTTGATTCGGCATAAATTAAGGACCTAATTAAAAGCACTACATAGAGGGGTATTATAAAAATTATCCATAAGTTTATATGAAAAATTACTATACTACCCTCGGATCGGGTTGGGTCAGAAGTTTTTCACCCTCCACCGGACCCAACCCGACCCGAAAAATATATGTCCACTCGAACTTAATCTAATCCGATTTTTTTGGACTACAAACCCAACCTAATCGGATTCGACACAAATTAAGGACCTAATTAAAAAACTATAGAGAGATGGGGTATTATAAGAATTATCCATAAATTTATATAAAAATACTTACTACACTCGGGTTGGGTTGGGTCGGAGGTTTTTCACCCTCCACTGGAACCCGACCCGACCCGAAAAATATATATTAT